ATAAACAAGTAAATAAATAAATAAAAGAGATAGATACAAAGCCTAAGTAAGCTGGATTGTGACTTAAAAGTGTGATGTCCTCAGGTACATGTCTACAACAGAGCTGGTGGGTTCCCCCCAGCCTCCTTCAGCTGGCATGGCTATAAGCGTGTTCTTCCTTCCATGGTAGGGACAAATGTTGCCGTACCAGTCCTGGGCTATCTCTGGACTTCTTAAGTAAAAGAGAGAAAATATATTTTCATTTTTTTAAAGCCATTTCTCCATTTTTCTGTTATGCCTAACTGAACGTAATCCTAACTAATGATGTGGCTTTGTTCAAGTATCTAGTCTGGTTGTGGCCTGAGCTGCCCCACTTCTTCCTCCTAGATGATGCTTCTAGTAGAGGCGTACTGTTTCTAAGTGTAGGACAAAAGTTATGGCAAACATTGCCAGGTTTCCACTGTTAATGGGTAAGAATCAGGATGTGTTGATGGACTGTGTCCAGAGTATGTTGCAATTTGTAGACAGCTGTATGCTCCCACTGAACCATAGGGATGGCCCTGGAGCTGGGCAGGGGCTAGTCCTCTGGTTCCTCTTCAGATAACAGGATGAGCAAGAGGCTGTGGGGCCTGGATCTAAGTTCTCCTGTCATCTGCCCCGGGTGCCACCTAAGTCCAAAGGCCTGACAGGTACAAGACCTGTATATCAAGCCCCTGTCTAACTGAGATCCACAGAACTAGCAGGTAACTTTAAAAACAAGGAGTAGGAGTGGCTAGGGATAAGGAAGTACAGATAAAAGACAAATGAATTCTGAAAGTAGGCAGGGCATGGACACAAACAAAAAAAATCTATATAGGCTGGTGCAAGGGCAGTGGTGTTTACAACAAATCGATCACAACCAGTTACAGATTTCTTTGTTCCTTCTCTACTCCCCATTGATTCACTTGACTAGCCTTAAAAAAAATCTGTATAAAGCACCAACGTGGACAGTGTTTGCGTTGTGTGTGCAATGCCAGCCAGAGGCCCTGGGAAAACAAAGACCATGACTGTTTCCTTTCACTGCCTCTGCTCCACGGTGTCAGTGACTTTATCTATTGAAACCCATACCCAGGCTTACGCCAGGGCTGTGTTCAGCTCCCACTCTCCTTTTCATAGCATGCCAAGAAAATCACTTGCCTCGGGGTACCCACAGGGGCATTTCTAAGGCATTTTGAGCCAATTATAGCAGTGGAGCACCGAGGGTATCCACCAATTTCTTAGACCCAAAGTATTCCTATTATAAAATGCATTCCCTGCCTTGTGGAAAGGGCAGGAATTCACCTTAGAGAACAAGAAATTGTCAGCAAAAAATCTGGACTGTGGACATTTTTTCAAATGCTTCTGAACTGACTTTAACTTTCGTTTGACAGACTAGCTAGGACTCACTCCACCAACTTCAGTCTAATCTCCTTTAGGAGATGCAGGCCCAAGAATGCTTCTAGTTTAAAATTCGTAATTCCCAAAATTAGGCAGAAGGGCACTCACTGGCCCAGAAACGGTCAGTGTGGGAGGCTCAGTATGGAGTGGAAGGGCATGGACCCTTAAGATAGACAGCCCTGCAATGAAGTCAAGACTCCAACACTAAAGTCCAAAGATATTATCTGTAGTTGTGGAACAGAAAACAAAGGTGTACATGCATTACAGTTATAGAGGTGTAGCTGAGGAATTGAAAATACTGATAAAACCTTAATGGAAGGCAGTTGGGGAGGTAAAAGGAAAATGTTAGGGTGCTAAATCCTCATCTTTCATAGCAGGAGGTCAATTAATAAATCAAGAAGGGATGGTATACAGGCCAGATGTGGTGGTTCACACCTATAATATGTGAGCCAGCCTCACCCAGCACTTTGGGAGGCTGAGGTGGGCAGATCACTTGGAGCCAGGAGTTTGACACCAGCCTGGCCAACATGGCCAACACGGCAAAAATCACATCTCTACTAAAAATACAAAAAGCTACTTGGGAGGCTGAGGCATAAGAATTGCTTAACCCAGAAGGTGGAAGTTTGCAGTAGCCAAAATTGTGCCATTGTACTCCAGCCTGGGTAACAGAGCAAGACTCTGTCTCAAAAAAAAAAAGAAAGAAAAGAAATGATGGGTTTCTTAAAAACAAATATTTATGATGTGCCAAACACTGTTCTAGGCATTGAGGATATAGCCATAAAATAAACAAAACAAAGTTGCTGCACTCCTTGTTCTAGTAATAAGCTGATTGGTGAAAGATAACACCGTTAAGGTGACTAACAGAAGAACTAGTTAAAAGTCTTACAATAATTGCTTTGGAGAGCAAACTTAGGGGAAAGAAGAGGGAGAGAGAAACAGGACAAAGAATTGTTTTTCCCAACAAGCCCTGTGATGCTATTTGATTTTTTAAAATTTGATTTAAATTATTAACAAGATGTTCTACTACCTACTAGCTGTGTATCCTTAAATAGATTATGGAAATTCCCTGGGCCTTAGTTATTTCATCTGGAAATTGGGGATAATAATGTCTCCCTCAAAGACCATTTACAGCCTGGGCACAGTGGCTCATACCTGTAATCCCAACACTTTGGGAGCCCGAGGCAGGAGGATCACTTGAGGTCTGGAGTTTGAGACCAGCCTGGCCAACTTGGTGAAACCCCATCTCTGCCAAAAATACAAAAATAAGCTGGGTGTGGTGGTGCGCTCCAGTAGTTGGGGAGGCTGAGGCAAGAGAATTGCTTAAAACCAGGAGGTGCAGGTTGCAGTGAGCCAGGATTGCACCACTGCACTCCAGCTTGGTGACAGAGCAAGACTCTGTCTCAAAAAGAAAAAAAAAAAAATTGGTAGGGTGTGGTGGTATGCACCTGTAATCCCAGCTACTCAGGAGGCTGAGGTATCAGAATTGCTTGAACCTGGAGGTGGAGATTGCAGTGAGCCGAGATTGTGCCATTGCACTCCAGCCTAGGTGACAGAGTGAGACCCCATGTAAAAAAAAAAAAAAAAAAGACTAAAGTCTGAAGTAGGCACCCAAACGTCAGTCCATCCCTGATGTTTCTCATGTCATATTTTGCAGCTCAAGGATTTCAGGCTGAGAATCGACATCTATTGTTGGGTCTGGTCTCAGCAAGTCACATGACTTTTTTGGATCTGTTTCTGTCCATCTGACACAAAGATGCTCATCTCAAGTTTCTCCATATGCAGAGGAACAGGTGTAGGTTGGTGAAACTCAGGGAAGCCTTTGAGCTTCTTGAGAGAACACTGATCACATCTTAACCTGGTTTCCATTTGGATGAGACTGTGTAATTTTTATATTACTGTCTTTTCTGCTCACTTGGGGATTTATAGGTAATCTGCTGGCCTGACTCTATTATTACCTCAAAAGGTTTCACAGTTAGGTACTTAATCTCTGAAACACTGATGTTCTCATGATATAAGGGAAAGAACAATTATGAATTCAAAAAAAGAGAGAGATAACTGTCTGAGATCAGGATGTAAATAGCAGGAAAACACTGAAGCTGTCAGCATGACAGAGCAGGAAGTTCTGCTGAGATCCAAGCTGGCTATAAAGGGAAAGTGTACATATGTGATTCTTTTTGTGTTTATGCCCACACATAAATATGCAGGAGGAGTGCTTGCAGGTTCTGTGCTGTGTGTGTGTGTGGTGGGGTGAGGTTCAGGCAATGCTGTGCTGGTAAAGGGCTAACCAGTAGTGAAGAGAGCCCTGATTTTTAGCAATTGCCAATTTCAATGGTGTAAATACTCCCACTGTGGCTGATTTCAAGCTATCAAGTTGAAGTCACTGAGTGCAGAGCTGGGAAGAGACAGAGTCAGCTCTCACCAGTTGATGCCAGCCAATTCCAGAAGATTTCTGGTTGCAGGTTTCCAGTACTGCCCTCTTTCAGAAGCAGAAAACCTTCCAGTCCTTCCACACATCTGCTTCTAAAGTTGTGGATATTGCTTTTGCTTTTATTCCAAAATCCATTCATATCTCTCAAACAGAATTGTTATTTTCACTTGATTATTTACTCCTTTGTAAAGTTCATAGCTCATCACAACTCATAGAAAATCTGAAACTAGGCTGGGTGCAGTGTCTCACACCTGTAACCCTGGCACTTTGAGAGGTCAAGGCAGGCAGATCACCTGACGCCAGGAGTTCAAGAGAAGCCTGGGCAATATGGTGAAACCCCATCTTTACTAAAAATACAAAAATTAGCTGGGCATGGTGACATGTGCCTGTAATCCCAGCTACTCAGGAGGCTGAGGCACAAGAATAGCTTGAACCTGGGAGGTGGAGGCTGCAGTGAGCCAAGATCGCACCACAGCACTCCAGAGCAGACTCTGTCTCAAAAAAAAAAAAAAAAAAAAAAATTCTGGAACTATAGTGTGGTTTCCCCCCCTCAAAATCTACACAATTGTTGGCAAGATCATTTGTTTATTCAGAAAGCAGTGAACAGGATGCTACAGAGCTGTCAGTGAACCACCCTGCTTCTAAAGATTTGGCAAACTCCTGCTGGCTCAGGAAAGCTCCCAGCAGGCAAGAAGAGGGGGCTCCTTCACGTCTGGTGCCCCAACAATACCAGCTCTTTGGAGTTCAAATGACTACCTGGTTCCTTGGCCCATGTATGGAACTCTTTCTTATCCCACAGGAAATCCTCTCTTAGTAGTTTCAAGGGGGGCTTCCCTTTGAAACTCTCCCCATTCTCTTTCCTCTTCCCTGAAATCCTGTAATCTAGAGCCAGATAGGGCTGGATCCAAGACCTGTGGGGCCTGGTGTTTTTATACTTGATGGTGGTGGTGGTGGTAGGGAGTTCCTTTAAGGAAAAAAATACAAAATTACAAATATAAAGTGACTAGGGTCAGAGCCTTTAGAAGAGGCCTATCCAAATGAGGGTCTGTAAAGGGGAAGCTTCATGAGCTTCCAGTAAATATGTCCCTGGAGCCAGACTATACTCCAAAGGAAATTGGATGTTTGCCTGAGGATGATGGGTGGTGGAATATCCTGTGTGTTTTTCCTTTTGGTTAAGGAGGAAGCTTTAGAACCCTGCTGTGTTCCCACTTGAAAGCCCTGTCTTCAAGACTGATCCTGGAGGACATTACCCACCTTCTTCTGAGGTAGCTATTTTATTCTATATTGCTTCTGCTGTGTCACGCAGCCACTCCTGAACTGCCTGGTATGAAATAGACCGGTTAAGTCTGTAACAGACAGAGCCCTCCTCCAAGGAAATATCTTCTCTAACCCCTAGCCGTCTAACTTCAAAATCACTATGTATGAAGAGGGACCTCTAGTGGTCAATTGCAAAGGTCACATCGCTGCTACCTTCTCCTACTATTATCTTACTGGTGTTCTGCTGTCAACTCTGGGTCGGTCCTAATAGGTGGAGGAAGCGGAGGAATTAAACACCAACAGTTTCCTGCTTGCTATCAATCTGGAGGCAGGAAGCTCTGGAGGAAAGGACACTAGTTTGGGGAGCATTCTCACTTGGGTTAATCTTTTATTAGTTTTGTCATCTTAACCCTGAGAGCTGGCTAGAACTTCGTTTTCTCACCTGTAAAATGGTGATCATCATAGGCACTTTATAGGTGGATGTGAGGATTGAAGGGCAGAACATATGTAAAGGGCTAAGTGTAAAATAGGTATCTGGTTAAAGTTAGTTCTCCTGGCAAGGCACAGTGGCTCATGCCTGTAATCTCAGCACTTTGGGAGGCCGAGGTGGGCGGATCACCTGAAGTCAGGAATTGGAGACCAGTCTGGCCAACATAGTGGAAATCCCATCTCTACTAAAAAAGCAAAAATTAGCCGGGTGTGGTGGCCCGTGCCTGTAATCCCAGCTACTCAGGAGGTTGAGGCAGGAGAATCGCTTGAACCCAGGAGGCAGAGGTTGCAGTGAGCCGAGATCGTGCCACTGCACTCCAGCCTGGGTGACAGAGTGAGACTCCATCTCAAAAAAATTAAAACTTAAAAAAAAATTGGTTCTCTTACTTCTCCCTTCAAATGAAAAATTCGTGGAGGGCAAAGAAGGAAGGAGAATATAGGATAGCTCAGAGGATTTTTTTGTTTTTGTTATAGGTGGGTGGCAGAGCATAGGATGATGTCTTAGTCCTCTCAGGCTAAGATGGGAGACCATCTCCCCAGAAAAATACACATATGCGCGCGCGTGCGCACGCACACACACACACACACACACACACACACACACACAGAGTTTTGCCTACAATTTCAGTTGTTTCATGCACACTCTAAAGCTCATCCATAGTGGTTCAAGAAGCCAGTTAAACTCTTAAAATTAGACACTTGGAAAAGGCTGCCATGTGGCAGCCAAGAGTCTTGAAAGAATTCCAATCCCTGCTCTGCCACTAAATAGCTGTGTTACTTTGGACAAGTCTCTTTACTTCCCTGAACTTCATTTCCTCATGTACTAAAAAAGGGAGAAGACAGATGGAGGATTGCCAGATAAAAAACGTGATGCCTCATTAAATTTTAATTCCAGAGAAACAATGATGTTTTAACATACAAGTATTAAAATATTGGCTTGCGATGAATTAGCACTTAGTAGTTACCTAGGTAGGACATACTTATACTAAAAAGATATTTGTTAGTTATTTACTTGAAATTTAATTTTAACTGAGTGCCCTGTATTTTTATTTGCTAAATCTGGCAACCCTATTCAGCCTTTCAGGTATTGCTTTAAGGTCAAAGATTTCTGGTGATGGAGGAATCCTCAGGGAATGAGAGGTTGAGAATCACTGAATGTTCTTCAAGCTATGACCAGACGAGGTGTGGTGGCTCATGCTTGTGATCCCAGCACTTTGGGAAGCTGAGGCAGGAGGATCACTTGAGATCAGGAATTCAAGACCAGCCTGGGCTAGAGAAATCCCATCTCAAAAATACAAAAATTAGCTGGGCATGGTGGTGCATGCTTGTAATCCCAGTTACTCAGGAGACTGAGGCAGGAGAATCACTTGACGTGGGAGGCAGAGGTTGCAATGGGCCGAGATCGCATCACTGCACTCCAGCCTCGGTGATGGAGTGAGACTCTATCTCAAAAAAAAAAAAAAAAGAAGAAGAAGAAGAAAAAGAAGCTATGACCCATTTTAAGCAGTTTAGTGAATGCTGTATTGGATTCTGGATGGAAAAGACAACACACTGGGTCCCTGTGTTGCTAAAGAACCACTCTATCATTGCTAGGCTGTGCCGGCAGATTCCTAGCTTTTCTGTTACTTTAAACAGTGGCATTGCCAGTGACGTGGCCAGATGACCCTGCTGGCCTGGGGCCCTCTAGCCATTTCCTGAGTTGCTGTCTCTGTCACACCAAGTTTGGTCACAGCTCCAGCTGTGGGATGGCCGTGCTCAGCGGTCAGTGCACTGCCCTGCAGGCCTTCCCCACATTCTGGTTGTTTGTTTCTCCCTCCTATTCTTCTTCATTCCCATAAAGAGAAAGTACTGTGAGGCCAGTGCACTCATGCAGCCAGCCCCCCACAAGGCAGCCCTGTCACTCATCCTCTTCCAGGGCAGAGCACCCAACTTGCACCTTGAATTTGACTCAGAATGGGCATGCTGCCCACCTCTCCCTGCCTTCCTCCTTCCTGAGGGCCCACTGTGCACTTGGCACTGTGCTGGATAATCTTCCTTAGCCAAGGACCTTTCGCCTTCTTCACTCTGGTCAATGACTTGTTCCATAGTCCATGGTTCTCAAAAGGAGATTCACAAACCACTGTGCAGAGTCCCTTGGAAGGCTCGTTAAAGATGAGATTCCTAAGACTCATCAGGACTGAAGAAGGAAAGGTACTGAAGCCTTCCCCTGGTGATTTTAATACTTGCCTTAATCAGAAAGTCATGGCGTCAGTTCCTGAAGTCCCTTCTCTGTTACCTTTCCAGAAGTACCTGGGCCTTGGGAATGGGAAGCAGATTGCTTTTTTGTTTGTTTGTTTTGAGACAGGGTCTCTCTCTTTCACCCAGGCTGGAGTGCAGTGGTGTGATTGCTCTCGCTGCAGCCTTAACCTCCTGGGCTCAATCCATTTTCCCACCTCAGCCTCACAAGTAGCTGGGACTATATGCCACTATGACTGGCTAATTTTTGTAATTTTTTTTTTTTTTTTTGCAGAGATGAGGTTTCATCATGTTGCCCAGGCTGATCTCAAACACCTAGGCTCGAGCAATCCACCCACCTCAGCTTTCAAAGTGTTGAGATTACAGGCATGAGCCACTGCACCCTGCCAGATGGGTCTTTATTCCCAGGAATATTCAGACTCAAGGCTGCTTTTCCTGTCTCTCTCTTGGTCTAAGCCACTTGTGGAAGCTGTGGAGTATTGTACTCTGTAAATACTCCAAGCAGCCAAACTACTTAGGCTTAATGGTTAACTACTGGGCTTAACTACTCACAGAAAAATGGTTTCTCCCTAGAAAAGAGGAATGTTCCAGGGATTTATATGACCTTGCACAGGTCACACGACTTCTTTGACTCTCCAGCAGGGGCACCGTGATACCGTTTTTCTTGTCTGAAATGCCTCCTCAGCACCTGAGGCCGCTCTGCATGGCTCCTGATCCTCATTAATGTCCAACTCTACAATGTAAGACCTTCAAAAGCCCAGAGCTTGTTTTACTCATCTATGTATCACCACTTAACGTTATGGAGAGCTGGAAGCACCATTCAACTTACAGACCTCATAGCTTTGTAGAATTAGTACAACAATTTTTCACAGATAGCAGTAGAGTAACTAGAGAAGCCGTCTTTCCCTAATTCATGACAAAGCCACCATATTGGCTTGCCTGCAGTTGGCATCCCCAATACTTAGAATACTTAGCACATGGTAGATACTCAACAAATATCTGCTAAATACATTTCCCCAACATTCTGGTCACAAAAATGTCATACAGAAAAGTTGAAACAAGAGTACGGTGAAGATCTGTAGACCCCTATTTAGATTGCATAGATGTTAACATTTGCTATATTTGCTTTGTGTGTGCATGTTTGCTCTTCTTGCTGAATCATTTGAAAGGTAGTTGCAATCATCACGATACTTGACCCATAACTATTTCAGCAGGCATCCCTTGAGAATTAGAACAGTCTATATATAACTGCAATACTATTATCACAACTAATAATAATTAACCATTATTTCCTAATATCCAGTTGTTGAAGTTGCTGGTAGTGCTCTACCCACATCCCCTGGACCTACCTAGAAGTTACCTCCAGCAAGTTCCTGTATAGCCAGTGACTTCCTGAGCATTTGCATGGACATCTTGGCCAGCCTGAGGGAGTATACTCTGCCCTCACAGGGCATGCTGAAAGTGCCAGAGATTCAACACTTTGAGAGTGTCCCTCAGCCAGAGATGGAGAGAAGTTGGTGATAAATACTGATGCTTCCTTCCCCATCAGGAGTTGATTCTAAGGTGTGTTCCACAGACCTTGTCCAAGGTTCCAGGGGGACAGTTGCTCACACCAGTAACCTGTTTATTAACACATTCTTTACTAGTTTCCTGCCTTTCCTATCTTACTTCCTTACTATGCGTCCTGAGATCACCTTTTGTTCTTTTTTGAGACAGGATCTCACTCTCGCCAAGGCTGGAATGCAGTGGCCCAATCTCGGCTCATCACAACCTCTGCCTCCCAAGCTCAAGGGATTCTCCCACCTAAGCCTCCCGAGTAGCTAGGATTACAGGCACACGCCACTACCGTGTGGCTAAAGTTTGTATTTTTAGTAGAGATGGGGTTTCACCATGTTGGCCAGGCTGGTCTCAAACTCTTAGCCTCAAATGATCTACCTACCTCACCTTGGCCTCTCAAAGTGTTGAGATTACAGGCATGAACCACCACCTGGCCAAGATCACCTTTATATAAACTACTTGCACTCAAAGCTCTGTCTCAGGGTCTGCTTTGGAGGGACTGAGAACCAAGACACCACTCCATTGCTAAATTCATTTTAAAATGACAGTATTGGATCCCTAGAGAAGCAAACTCAAGGGCTGGGTGCTATGGCTCATGCCTGTAATCCCAGCACTTTGGGAGGCGGGGGCAGGCAGATCACCTGAGGTCAGGAGTTCAAGACCAGCACCCCTTCTCTACTAAAAATACAAAATTACCTGGGCCTGGTGGTGCATGCCTGTAATCCCAGCTTCATGGGAGGCTGAAGCAGGAGAATCACTTGAAGAGGTGAAGGTTGTGGTAAGCCGAGATCATGCCATTGCACTCCAGCCTGGGTAAAAGGAGTGAAACTCCATCTCAAAAAAAAAAAGCAAACTCAGAGCTTGCTCAGGTGGTACTTGCATCCCAGCCAACAGGAGCTGCTCTTAGCTCTGATTTTTGCTTGAAGAATGCTATAGTGAGGTTACGTTGATTTAGGATGCCCTGCCTAGCCTATACTAATAATAATAGTGATAAGAGCTACTGTTTACTAAGAGCTTACTGTGTGGTAGCTTCACATGCTTCGTTTCATTTAATCCTCACAGTGACTCTGTAGAGAGGTTACTATTACTATTCCCATTGTATCGATGAAGACCCTGAGGCTCACGGAGGTAAAATAACTTTTCAAAGTAACACAACTAGAAGAGGCAGATTGCTGGTGTGCTTCAGCCGTGTATTAAAATGTGTGGATAACTAGCTGGGCATGGTGGTGCATGCCTGTAATCTCAGCTACTCGGGAGGCTGAGGCAGGAGAATCGCTTGAACTCAGGAAGCGGAGGTTGCGGTGAACCAAGATTGCACCATTGCACTCCAGCCTGGGCAACGAGAGTGAAACTCTGTCTCAAATTAAAAAAAAAAAAAATCTGTGGATAACTATAAGTACTCTTTTGTTATATTTTTGTGTAAATAGGAACAATAGTACTTGGCAGATAAAATTTGCATTGTTAACAATACCATAAACATCGTATAATGTAAGGATCCCCCAGTCAGGTGATATCCTCAAGGGGATGAAACTGTTCCCTAGGCCAAGGTGGGTAGATTGCTTGCGGCCAGTTTGAAACCAGCCTAGGAAACGTGGTGAAATGTCATCTCTACCAAAAATATACATATAAACAAAGTTTAGCTGGGCATGGTGACACACACCGTAGTCCTAGCTCCTTGGGAGGCTGGGAGGCAGAGGTTGCAGTCAGCCTCAATTGTGCCATTGCACTCCAGCCTGGGTGACAGAGTGAAACCCTGCCTCAAAAAACAAAAAACTATTTCCTGCCATGCCTGGCTTGGTACAGCTTATGTGCAGGGTTTGGGTAACTAAGACTTTCCCAGCATTATTTAAGTTGTGTAGAATCTTCCAATGTTTTCACTGCTATGAAAGTCAAACTTCTCCTTGGATTTGTCCCATCATAATCCCCAGACTAGTAGATGATCAAAACGCAGTCATCTTACTTGAATATGACAATCAATATTCAGTGAGATGCGCTACAGATTTTTGTGCAAGTTCAGGCTTTCTTAGAACAAAACATCCCTGTTAGTAATATCTGGCCCCACCTAGTAACCTAGGTACATATAGAAAGTTAGATCTTAAGAAGGTGTCTTTCCCAATTACTGTCTTCTCCAGGACTCCATAAAGAGAAACAGACTTTGAACCCAAGTTATCGTATTTATTTGACCCTACTGTCATAAAGTGTTCAAATTCAAGTATTATAAAGGATTGTAACAGGGAAAGCGTTTAGGGTTTTCAGGCGGAGAAACAGTTGGCCAAGGAAGTCCACTTCTCGGAGCTCAAGAGGTAAGTGGTTAAGACTGTCTTATTTAGAAAGTAGACAGTCATACAGATTAAAAACAAGCCAAATGAGGGAAATACATTTTGAAAAAGTTGCTGGCTCAGTAGAGTGGAGGGAAAGACAATACACAGATTCGCCCCCCTTAATAGGGAGGGGTGAAGTCTGCCAAGAAGCCTGCACTTGCAGTTTTGATTGAGTACCTGTAGTGGAGCATGCTTGAGAAAATTCTACTAGTGATTACATTCTGAAATCATCACTGTTACAACACTGTGATAGATAGAAATCTTCTTGGCAAATATTTAAAATTACGAAAGAATCAATATTAGTAGTAATTGCATCTTACAAAAAGATTGATGCGGGCTTGTCTGCTGGAAAGGGTGGGCCTGGGATGAATGAAACTTACTCCTGTCAGGACACGCCTGGGACAGCGGAGGAGTAGAGCAGGTCCAGAGAAGTCATAGTTATGTTTTAGCTCTTGAAAGTTAAGGGGAGAGAACTCCAAGTGGCCAGCGAGTGGAAGGGATTAACAGTAGCTCCTTTTTTTTTTCCCTTTTTGAGACCGAGTCTTGCCCTGTCACCCAGGCTGGAGTGCAATGGCATGATCTCAGCTTACCACAACCTCCGCCTCCTGGGTTCAAGTGATTCTCCTGCCTTAGTCCCTGAGTAGCTGGGATTACAGGCACCTGCCACCATGCCTGGCTAATTTTTTTTTGCATTTTTAATAGCAATGTATTTTTGTATTTTTTATTTCTAGTAGAGATGGGGTTTCACCATGTTGGTCAGGATAGTCTCAAACGCCTGACCTCAGGTAATCCACCCGCCTCAGCCTCCCAGATCACACTGGGATTACAGGCGTGAGCCACCATGCCCAGCCTAACAGCAACTTCTTAAAGGAAAAGAATATTAATCTAGGCAGTAGATTGGGTAGGAGGGTGGTTAAGAGTAGGGTATAGGCTGGGCGCGGTGGCTCACGCCTGTAATCCCAGTACTTTGGGAGGCCGAGGCGGGTGGATCACGAGGTCAAGAGATCGAGACCATCCTGGTCAAAATGGTGAAAGCCCGTCTCTACTAGAAATACAAAAAATTAGCTGGGCATTGTGGCGCGTGCCTGTAATCCATGCTACTCGGGAGGCTGAGGCAGGAGAATTCCCTGAACCCAGGAGGCAGAGGTTGTGGTGAGCTGAGACTGCGCCATTGCACTCCAGCCTGGGTAACAAGAGCGAAACTCCGTCTCAAAAAAAAAAAAAAAAAAAGAGTAGGGTATAGTAAGCCGGGTGTGGCGGCTCATGCCTGTAATCCCAGCACTTTGCAAGGCTTGAGGTGGGCAGATCGCCTGAGGTCAGGAGTTCGAGACCAGCCTGACCAACATGGAGAAACCCTGTCTCCACTAAAAATACAAAATTAGCCGGGCGTGTGCTGCATGCCTGTAATCTCCCCAGCTACTCGGGAGGCTGAGGAAGGAGAATTGCTTGAACCTGGGAGGTGGAGGTTTCGGAGAGCGGAGATTGAGCCATTGCACTCCAGCCTGGGCGACAAGAGCAAAGCTCCAGCTCCAAAAAAAAAAAAAGAGTAGAATGGTAGTAGTGTAGTAAAGAGCATGGTCTTGGGAGCCCTGGGTTCAAATTCTGACCTTGACATTTACTATATATAGGATCTTGGGCAAATTACATAATCTTTTTAAATCTATAGAAACTACTTCAAGAGGGTTGTTGGGAGGCTTGTGACTGAAATAATGTATAAGGTGCTTAGCACAGTCCCTGTTGCACAGAAACTTTTCTATATGTGGTTCCACTACATTTATAGTAGCACTCTTGAAAGGAAGAAATCAATATGTTTTTTTCCCAGATGGAAGTGGAGAATATCTTAGGGAGAGTTGAAGCAAAAGCAAGAAAGGAGAAGTGACCCCTTTTTTATTTATGATTTTTAGTCCATATGAGTCAAGAGGGAGGGGGAGAGAGAGAAAGAGAGAGAGAGAGAGAGAGAGAGAGAGAGAGAGAGAGAGAGAGAGAGAGACAGAGAAGTGAGAGAAAGCCAAGATTAACATGGTTTAAAACTAGAAGCCACGTTTCAGTTGAGTCTTTTCTAAGTACACACTATTTGAATCTATGGGATTTGGAATATTCTCAAAAACTCTATTATCAGAGAAAAACTTTACAAAAATGACCCAAGAGAAGCTTTCAGAACAAGAATTATTTTGTTCAGTAGGGACTGTCTGAGAATGACACAAGTTTCATTCTGTTAGTTTCTCTAGGGAAGACTGGTTTTATCTTCCCCGGTGTGCCCTAACGCTGGTCTATCTGTCACAGCCTATTTCCTTGTGGTTTTCTTTGTTGCTTTAAAAAAAAATTTCTTACTACTAAATGTACTTTGAACTTAGACAGTGTTGTTTAATTAAAAGCTAGAAGTAGTACCGTTATAGTTGTGATGATTCATCTAGGACTTCACTTTAAATGCGAAATAGACAGAAGGAAGGTTCACAAACTCCTTGTAGACCAAAGTACAAAACCGACTGTGCTCTTTTTCCCTGAGTAGATCCGACGTTGACTCATTAAAGATGGCATGGAAGTGCAGTGTCATCATGCAAATGGGAAGATTTCTTCTCTTAGTAATTTTATTTCTGCCACGTGAGGTGACAAGTAAGTTAAAGTTCTTTTTGGCTTCTTTTTAGATAAAGAAAAATTTCTGATTAAGAAAAATGATCATTGGGCATTGGATATATCCTTAAATTCCAAACTGGAATGACTACACAGTTAGCATGGCTCACAGTATATGAGTCAGATAACAATAAGAAATCAAATGGAAAAATATTGTTTTCAGGGTTTTATTATTACAAGACAAGGTGAAATATTCTGTTCTCTCCAGAGCCACCACCAGAATCCTCCTCCATTTGAGTGCATTTTATTACTAATGTTACCCCAAATCATCTTCTGTTTATCCAAACATACTGTTTCACATGAAAATCTTTCCAGCATTTGCTCCCCCACCACTCTTTTCTGATTTTAAAAGTAATACATAGTCATTGTAAAATAAATTAGGCAGTCTATAAAAAAATAAAAAGTACAAATCCCCCCAAATATTTTCATCCAGAGATGACAATCACTCAATATTTTGATACATATTCTTCCATATTTAAAAAATATACTAGACAGCAATACCATTATCTTTACAAGTAGCTTAAGTTTTTTTGTTTGTTTTTGATTTTGAGATGGAGTCGCACTCATGTTGCCCAGGCTGGAATGCAGTGGCGAGATCTCTGCAAACTTCACCTCCTGGGTTGAAGTGATTCTCCTGCCTCAGCTGGGACTGAGTAGCTGGGACTACAGGCGTCCACCACCACACCTGGCTACTTTTTTTAAGTAGAGATGGGGTTTCACTACGTTGGCCAGGCTGGTCTCGAACTCCTGACCTCAGATGATCCACCCACCTCCGCCTCCCAAAGAGCTGGGATTACAGGCGTGAGCCACTGCGTCCAGCCAGCATAAGTTTTTTAAAAGGAAGATGAATGTGTTTATAGAATATATTAACAAATATTATCTGGGGTGCAGGTTTGTGACAGATAAAGTTCCTTTTTAGCGTTTGTTACTTAGTTTTAAACCAGGAAAATAAAAACCGAAATTCAGGTATATTACTATGCAATGAATAGATCTCTAAAAGTCAGAGCTGAAAAAAAAAACAAAACAAAACTATGTATCCTGATCACCCAACTCATGAAGACAAACCCTACAACTTAAACCTACCACACAAACCCCAGCTACTTAAACATCTTTTTATTTTTCTTCACTACCAAAACAATATTAAAACATTATAGATGCAAGACCCAATTTGTCCATAATCCTATCATTTAATCAGAAAAGTGTTTTCAAATCAGTTCTTACCCATAAGCATGTGCAATTTTGATAAGTTGTAGTAATTATTAGAGCTTTAACTTATATTCTTCCTTTTTGCCTAATGTTATGCCTTATTTTTCCATTTCATTCCCTTGTTTTCCTACTTTCAACCCCTTCAAGTAAACAAATTAAATATGGCATGTGTATATGTATATACGTATACATATGTATGTGTGTGTATTCAATATATATGAGATTTTTCCCCAAGTCTTTTTTCCATATTTACATACACACACAAACGCGTGCGCACACACACATGATCATTCTGTATATACTGGTTTCTAATTTGGTGGTTTTCAAACTTCACTGCATATTAGAATCACCTGGGGGCAGGTGGGTGGGGTGTTTTAAACAACACAATGCCCAGGTTGCACTCATGTCAACTAATCAGATGTCTGGGGATGAGAACCAGGCATCAGTACTTTGTTTTGGAGGCAGGGTCTTTATTTTGTTCTACTGATGTACATAACTTATTTAACCAATCCCCTGTTCATGGGCATTTAGGTTGTTTATCTGTATAGCTGTATATCTAAATAGTTTCTCCCTATACTCCCAGGTTCTGTTTTAACTGTGAATGGTAAAACTGAGAACTATATCCTGGATACTACACCTGGCTCCCAAGAATCTCTGATATGTGCTGTTCAAAACCACACCAGAGAGGAAGAACTGCTCTGGTACCGAGAAGCAGGGAGAGTGGATTTGAAATCTGGAAACAAAATCAATTCCAGCTCTGTCTGTGTCTCTTCCATCAGTGAAAATGACAACGGAATCAGCTTTACCTGCAGGCTGGGGAGGGATCAGTCCGTGTCCATTTCGGTGGTGCTGAATGTTACTTGTGAGTGAGGGGAAAAGAAACGGCTAGTGGGTCTTTCATGTCTGTAACACAGGAAGTGATCATTGAGATCTAGGTCTTGGTATTGCCAAATTGCCCAATTTATGCTCCCACCGCAAAGCATGAGAGTACCTATTTCCCCTCATCTTCACGAGCACTGAGTATCATCAAACTCTAAGAATTTCCCAGCCTCATTTGAAATTTTCTTTTCCTTTTTTTTTTTTTTTTTTTTGAGACAGAGTCTCACTCTGTTGCCCAGGCTGGAGTGCAGTGGCGCGATCTCGGCTCACTGCAATCTCCGCCTCCCAGGTTCAAGCAATTCTCCTCCCTCAGCCCCCTGAGTAGCTGGGACTACAAGCACGTGCCACCACGCCCGGCTAATTTTTAATTCTTGTATTTTTAGTAGAGACAGGGGTTTCAGCATGTTGGCCAGGCTGGTCTCTAGCTCCTGACCTCAAGTGATCCGCCTACATCAGCCTCTCAAACTGCTGGGATTATAGGCATGAGCCACTGAGCCCAGCCTATTTTCATTATTTAAATTAAGAATGAGAGTGTTCACTTTTGCATAAATAGATTGGCCTTTTTAAAATGGAATGCCTGCTTGTATCCTTAACTCGTTTTTTTTTTCTGTTGGGTTTTACGCTTTTTCTCATTAATCTGTACGAGGGCTTTGTAGATGAAGGACGTTAGTCCTTTGTCATTTTGAATTGTAAGTATTTCTCCTATTTGTTTTCGAACATTTTTTAGTTCTTTTTTTGTCATATTGATTTTAAATGTTTGTATATTTAAAGCTACAAGTCTTTTCCTTTGTAGTGCCTAGCTTTTGTGTGCTGCTTCGATGGATTTTCATGGCGGGGCACAGTGGCTCACGCCTGTAATCCCACCACTTTGGAAGATCAGGAGTTCAAGACCAGTCTGACCAGCCCCTACAAGAAATACAAAAATTAGCCAGGCGCAGTGGTGGGCACCTGCAATCTCAGCTACTCAGGAGGCTGAGGCCAGAGAATTGCTTGAACCCAAGAAGCAGAGGTTGTAATGAGCTGAGATGCCACCACTGCACTCCAGCCTGGGCAACAGAGTGAGACCCTATCTCAAAAAAAAAAAAAAAAGAAAAAGAAAAAAAAAAGATTTTTATTAGGGAATCTTCAAACCTCACCTTAAAATAAAAAAAAAGTGAAGCTCTTCAATGCATGGGTTCCAGGTATTGGTAACCCACTAATGGGACTGTACAGGCTTAGGGGACTGTCAAGTGATACTATGTATGTGATCACATGGGTTGTTGGGTGAAAAGCTGGTTCTGCATGAGAATGGTGTGGATGGTATGGTGATGGGTGAGGTAGGATGGTGCAGTACGATTTGGTAGAAAGACCCTATCTCTGCAAACATAACATAGTGAGACCCTATTCCTACAAAAAAAAAAAGTTTGTTTTTAGTTAGCTGGGCATGGTGGTATACACCGGTAGCTGGTATACACCAGCTACGCGGAAGGCTGAGGCGAGAGGATCACCTGAGCCCAAAAGGTTGAGGCTTCAGTGAGGTGTGATTGTGCCAACCTGGGCAACAGAGTGAGACCCTGTCTCAAAAAAAAAAAAAGACAGCTAAGGAAACTAAGGCCCAGACTAGGGGCTCAAATCATAGCTGCAGCTGAGAACAAAACACTAATTCCCAAGCTTTTAATCTAGTGCTTAAGTGCTTACTCCATGAAACTTTTTATTTTATTTATTTTATTTTATTTTGAGACAGTGTCTCACTCTGTCAGTGAGGTGGCACAGTCTCAGCTCACTGTAACCTCTGCCTCCGAGGCTCAAGTGATCTGCACAGGAGTCTCAGCCTCCCAAGTAGCTGGGACTACAGGTGCACACCACTATGCTGAGCTGATTTTTGCATTTTTTTGTAGAGATGGGGTTTTGCTATGTTGCCCAGGCTGATGGAACCCTCTTAAAAGAGACAAGGCAGAAATGCCGACAATGTGATTTGATGACTTTAAGAAATTGTTTTTAGTCCAGGTGTGGTGCCTCATGCCTGTAATTCCAGCATTTTGGGAGGCCAAGGCAGGCAGATCACCTGAAGTCAGGAGTTCAAGACCAGCCTGGCCAACATGATGAAACCCTGTCTCTACTAAAAATACAAAAATTAGCGGGACATGGTGGTATTTGCCTCCGTAGTCCCAGCTAATTGGGAGGCTGAGGAAGGAGAATTGCTTGAACCTAAGAGGTGGAGGTTGCGGTGAACCGAGATCGCATCACTGCTCTCCAGCCTGGGTGACAGAGTGAGACTCCGTCTCAAATTTAAAAAAAAAATTGTTTTCAGTTTTCCAGCCTCAATCCATTTTTTAGATAGTCTTTATAACAATCTCCTAAATATCATTGTTGCTATGTGTGTGTGTATGTGTGTATAATAATTGCTCAGTAATCCATAATGACAACACTGACACAAACTCATCAACAAATAAATCAAAATGAGCTCATAAAATGTGACAATGATATTATGTACCATTCAAAGGCAGTACCATTATTGTTATAAATAGCAGATTAAGAACTAATTGGAAGCTTGATAACACACTGTGTGGGGGAGAAAGTGGAGAAACAGGTTCTGTTATACATCATTGCTGAAAGTTTAAATTGAGAACACCTCTTTCGTAATACCTATCAAAATTTAAAGTGTGCGTATCCTATGACACAGCATTTCTCCTTCTAGAGATTAACCTTGGAGAAATACATGCACATGAGCATAAAGAGATATGGACGAGGATGTTTATTGTAGCATTGTTTAACATTTTAACATGAAAACAACCTAATGCCCAACAAAACACAAATGATTAAAAAGGCGTACATTATATGATAGCACTCTAAAAGCAATAAGCTAGATCTCTGTGGTTCAATATGAGTATATCCAAAAAGCATGCAAGTTATTGAGAGAAATGAAGTATTTTATGTAAATCCTTCCTATGCTCCTAAAATAATACCATATATTTCCTAAGGGTACACTATGTGTAGAGAAAACTATTTAAGAGAAAAGAAATATAGGGAAAGATTTACACCAAACTCATAGCAGTGGGTATCTCTGGAGATTCAGGAAGTGACCAGGTTGGACCTTAGCTTTATCTGAATTGTACTAATTTTTAGAGAGGGGATATTCACATATACTGATATGCTTAAATTAATTTCAAATCATTACATAAAAAGAAATCACTAACAATCTGTCCACAACTGGAATTGTTCTATTTGGCAATTAGGTTCTCTATTCCAGCAGCTTCCTACATATCTGAATACCATATAACATCCTTGTTGGATGTGATACAGAATTCAAGCTCATTCCAAAGAGCAACAAAATGTCATTCTTCTGAGAGAGTTATTAATAGCACAGCCTACTCAGGGTCTAATTATTCAGTGTGCAGATTATACAAGCTCCTTTTCCCCCTTCTCCGCCTCTACCATTTCCCTAGTTCCACTCTCCAACCATTTTGTTACTATTCAGCACCTCTGTCAGAATCTGCAAGGTGATATACATTGTCTATGGGTCTACAACTGCCTTTATTGTAGAGGGAATAAGGAGTTGCTCACATGGAGCGATGAGAGGGGACTCACTTGCCTTCCACAGATGCCAGAGTTGCATGCTTAGAACACCTTCTGGGAGGAAGACATTATTGCTAGAGGATCACTGAGAAAACACAAAGATGCATTGGTAAATATGTTACCAAGGCAATGGTTAGAGAAAATGCAAAAACAGACAGTGAGAGTAGCCCTCAAAACCACCACCACCATAATAATTAGTAGCTGGCACTGTGGCAAATGTTTTACAGGGATTATTTAATCTTTACAGCAACTCATGAGATGTATGATTATCCCATTTTTTTTTTAATGTGAGAAAAAGAGGTCTTAGCAGTTACTTAACTGTCTCAAAGTCACAGTAAATGGTGTGGATGGAATGAGGTCTAATTGCAATGTATGTCTTCTTAATTTTGCAGCTTTTTTTTTTTTTTTTTTGAGACGGAGTTTCGCTCTTGTTACCCAGACTGGAGTGCATTGGCACAATCTCGGCTCACCGCAACCTCTGCCTTCTGGGTTCAAGCAATTCTTCTGCCTCAGCCTCCCGAGTAGCTGGGACTACAGGCGCGCACCACCATGGCCAGCTAATTTTTGTATTTTTAGTAGAGAAGGGGTTTCACCTCGTTGACCAGGATGGTCTCGATCTCTTGACCTCGTGATCCACCCGCCTCGGCCTCCCAAAGTGCTGGGATTACAGGCGTGAGCCACTGCGCCCAGCCAATTTTGTACTGTTTTGTGCAACACTAACACAGGTTGTTTTATTAATTCTCAGAGAACAAAGAATCAAAGCTTATACTCTTAGGTAGCGTTACAAATTGTCTGCTTGTCATAGATTCATTACGATATATATTATGTTCATAATCCTATGTTAATTCATGGTTTGTCTTCTTCATCACATTAAAAGTTGTATGAGATTTGGAACTGGAAGTATTATTTGCCCTTGTTACCCCAGTACTTGGCACACAGTACGTATTTAATAAATTTTTGTCAAATGAATAAATAACTAGATGAGATAGACTGAAGGAAGACCTTGATCTCTGACAGTGAACTATTGCTTATCTGCTAATTAAATCTAAATGCTTGAGTCTTGCAGTTCCTCCTCTTCTAAGTGGAAATGACTTCCAAATGGTTGAGGAAGGCAGTAATGTGAAGTTGGATTGCAATGTGAAAGCCAACCCCCAGGCTCAAATGATGTGGTACAAAAACAGTAGTCTCCTGGATTTAGAGAAAAGCCATCACCAAATCCAACAGACGAGTGAGTCTCTTCAGCTGTCAATCACCAAAGTCAAGAAATCTGACAATGGAACCTACAGCTGTATTGCAAAGTCACCTCTGAAAACGGAGAGCTTGGACTTTCACCTGATTGTTAAAGGTAACACTCTTTTTAAGTAATACCCAGCACAGTGCAAAACTCAGACTAGATGCTCAGTAAATATTTTTGGTGACAATAAATAATAATAACAGTTATGATTAGTAGCTAGGATTTTCTTTGGAGAATCATCCCCATCCAAGGATTTTTCCACTAAGAATCCTAGTCCATCCTTTTAGGGAAATCTTGCCCATTCCATATAGGACACTGTTTTTTGAGCAAAGATCCTTTCTTAAAACCAAATATAGAAAACAAATCTGCTTGGCTTTTAGGGAGGAGAATTTCCATGAATTCTGGGCAACAAGGTGTATAGCAACTAGACTTTGGAATTCACAGCCTTACAACAACAGAAGAGAAGTAAAAAGACACAGAGAGAACAAAAATTAGGACTAGATAAGAAAATAGATCTCTGCAATCACTCCTAACTCAAATTCTAACTTGTAGGCTAATCAGCAGAGAGAGTAGGAAAAAAATAAGAAGGAAGAAAGCCCTTTCTCTTGGATTCATGCTTCATCTACCCAGGGTTATCACCTCTACAATGACAGAACAAATGAAGCTCTGAGGGGTTTCCCCTACTCATATTTTTTGCTAATACAAAAAGAGAAAGGCAAAATACCTGGGGTAGCAGATGCCAAAAATGCTTATTCACACATTGTCTGGTCTCACGCCAGTATCCCAGGAGCAGCCCAACAAGCTGAGACTCCTGTATCTTGTTAGAACAGTATTCACTTTGTCATTTGTCTCCCTGTACCCCCTCATTGCCAGTCTTGCCAATCCCCAGGAAGCCAACTGAACCCCTGCCCGAAGTGTTGTGGTGATGTAACCATGGGATATCTTATTTCCTTCCCCATGAGGGGAAGGGTTATGGGATATGAACAGAGCGACTGGTGGGGAAGAAGAGTTGCTGGTGGTTGAATATCCATCACTGTGATTTGTGGCATGAGTAATTCATCCTGCAGAGCAGTAGCAATATGCCCAGGGGCTACTTGTTTTAAAAGCCAAACCCACCTGTAATTCCAGCACTTTGGGAGGTCGAGGCAGGTGGATCACTTGAGGTCAGGAGTTCAAGACCAACCTGATCAACATGGAGGAACCCTGTCTCTACTGAAAAAAAAAAAAAAAAATAGCCAGGCATGGTGGTGCATGCCTGTAATATCAGCTACTCAGAGGCTGAGGCTGAGGCTGGAGAATTGCTTGAACCCAGGAGGCGGAGGTTGCGGTGAGCTGAGATGGCGCCATTGCACACCAGCCTGGGCAACAAGAGCAAAACTCCGTCTCAAAAAACAAAACAAAACAAAAAAAACAAGCCCACAAATATCCTAAGTAACCATGGAATAGAAAAAGTTCTCTGGCTATTTACCTCCCCCAAGGACCACTAAAGCATGGAAAGGTGGGCCTCATGCCCTGCCATCCTAACTGACTACAAACACCACACTTAGAGACCGGGAAATTACATCCCTCCTGGTTAAGAAGAAATCATAATTGTTCTGTGTCACATTAAAAAAAATATACAGCATATGTGGCAAACAGGATGCCAGCTTAGTACATTGGCTTTCTGGTGGGCAGAAACTTGTTTTGGGTAGGGCTTTTCCAAACCAACTGGTTTTTCTTATTTCTTCTTGCTTAGCTACTTCCCTGGCTGGTGGCATAAGCGCTCTGCTGCTGGGGCTCAGGCTAAATGCCAAGATGTTCATGAGCCCTCTCCTGGCTTCATGTCTCAGTGAGGAAGCTCCTAAATGAGGCTACAAATTACATCACAGATCTTTTCTTGAGCATAAGATTGAGCCCATGTGTTGGGATTATTTAACCATGATGCATAGGGGAGGAAAATATCAGGTCTGGTTACAAATGAGAGCATAAAACAGGACAAGGGGAGAGGCGTGGTTATGTAGTTACCCTTGCCAGTCTCTTTTCTTTCCTTTTTTTTTTGAGACAGGGTCTCACTCTGCCACCCAGGCTGGAGTGCAGTGGCATAATCATAGCTCACTGCAGCCTCATCCTCCTGGGCTCAAACAATCTTCCCACCTCAGGCTTCTGAATAGCTGGGACAGGTGCATGCCACCACAACCAGCTAATTAAAAAAATTTTTTTTTGTAGAGACGAGGTCTTGACATGTTGACCAGGCTGGTCTTGAACTCCTGGGCTCAAGCAATCTGCCAACTCTGCTTCCCAAAGTGCTGGGGTTACAGGCATGAGCCACCATGCCCAGACCAAAGTCATTTTCAACAGAAATTTGGAATCCAAAGCAAGCCAATGGGTAAGGTAGTTTACTTCAGTTTATAGAGTAAGAGCTGTTACATGTGGCTTCATTTTATCTGGCTTGATAAAAATATTCCAACCTGTGACTGAATTCTGATTTTTTTTTCTAATTGCCCTACCTTTACTTCCCCTTTGTTTTGACATCTTGCAAATGGAGGGGCTCCCCAGTAAGGTGAGGGCCCTTGGGTGTGTCCCAGAGCTGACTAGTACAGAACCAGGGCTTATCAGAAAAAGGCTTACTGAGCAGTTTCTCCATAGGAATGGTATGACCCATACCTTCAGGAGAATAATTTTTAGAAACAGCCAAGACAGGGAAAAAGTTTAATCCACGTAGTCCCCAAAATTATCCAGAGCAGGAAAATGATAAAAAGGTAATTACAGGCTGAGTGTGGTGATTCCTACCTGTAATCCCAGCTCTTTGGGAGGGCAAGACAAGAGGATTGCTTGAGCCCAGGAGTTCAAAAACAGCCTGGGCAACATAGTGGGACCCTGTCGCTACAAAAAATAGAAAAATTAGCAGGGTATGATGGTATGCACTGGTAGTCTCAACCACTCAGGAGGCTGAAGTAGGAGGATCTCTTAAGCCCTAGATGTCCGAGGCTGCAGTGAATCATGATCACACCACTGCACTCCAGCCTGGGTGATAGAATGAGACCCTGTCTCCAAAATAATAATAATAATAATAATAATAATAATAATAATAATTGGTTAGTGTGTTACACAGTTATGGGGACAGAAGAGATAAACCCTATTTCATAATCTTAAGGTATACAGGGACTGGGTTTTGAAATTAAATGTATCTAAAGTTGCTTCCTCCCCTCCTCCCTGGCTTTTGCCCTTCACTTGCTATCTCATGACCCTGTTTCCTGTCTAATACTTAATCTGTAATATCTGTTTGTTTAATGTCTGTCTCTCTCCTAGAATATGAGCTCCATGAAGGCAGAGGAGCCTTCCACATCTGTCCTATTTTCTGCAGAGCTGAACACAGTGCCTAACACACATTAGTCACTCAGTAAATATTCGTTGACTGTACCTCAATCCACAAACTCAATTGTACAATAAATAGCACATGCTCAATTTCCTTTAAATGCCTAAAATTTGATTTAAGCCATGACTGAAGCTCCTTCCCTCGTTGGGCAGCATCAGAATCCAGGGGCTTAGACAAGGTCACTTAAAAACCTTTGTTGACCTTAAGCATGTTCACTTTAAGAAACAGGATCCTGCCAGGCACACTGGGTCACGCCTGTAATTGCAACACTTTGGGAGGCCCAGGTGGGAGAATTGCTTGAGGTCCAGCGTTTGAGACCAGCCTGGGCAACATACCCAGACTTCATCTCTTAAAAAAAAAAAAAGTTGGCCAGGGGTAATGGCTCACACCTGTAATCCCAGCACATTGAGAGGCTGAGGCAGGCAGACCACTTGAGGTCAGGAGTTCAAGGCCAGACTGGCCAACATAAGGTGAAACCCTGTCTCTACCTAAAATACACAATTACCCAGGCATGATGGTGCACACCTGTAGTTCCAGCTACTTGGAAGGCTGAGGCAGGAGAATTGCTTGAACCCAGGAGGCAGAGGTTGCAGTGAGCCGAGATCAAGCCATTGCACTCCAGCCAGAGCAACAGAGTGAGATTCTGTCTCAAAAAAAAAAAAAAAAAAAAAAGAATAGGGTCTCACTATGTTGCCCAGGGTAGAGAAGAGTGGCTATTCATAGGTGCAATCATAGGGTGTTATAGCCCTGAACTCCCGGGCTTGGGACCTATACTCCCAAGTAGCTGGGACTACAGGTGTGCCACCCTACCTGGCTTTTACTTTTACTTTTAAAAGTTTCATTCCATATCATAAATCAAATATATTTTTTTAAAAAACACATTGTATGTGCTTTCTGCTACAAAAGTTTTGAAAGAATCTTTATAACTTGTATAGATTTTGAATTTTGTTATAAATAAGTTGTTCATTTGGTTCTTGAGGGTTAAACTTTATTATTTAACAGTTGGGTTATAGTTGACACCAGGTTGCATTTTACAGATGCTTAAACGTTGATTAATTTTGCTATGTTCTTTTCATATCTTGGGGCCAATCATTTTTTTCTGGGTCTCAAATATTTTCATAATCTCTTAGAAAGCCTGCAAACACAGGCACTATGCCTGTAATGACTGATAAATAAAGTAGCTCTTAGCCAGGTGTGGTGGCTCACACTTGTAATCCCAGCACTTTGGGAGGCAGAGGCAAGCAGATCACCTGAGGTCAGGAGTTCGAGACCAGTCTGGCCAACATGGTGAAACCCTGTCTCTACTAAAAATATAAAAATTAGCTGGACATGGTAGCATGTACCTGTAATTCCAGCTACTTAGGAGGCTAAGGCAGGAGAATTACTTGAACCTAGAAGGCACAGGTTGCAGCAGTAAGCTGAGATCAAATCCCTGTACTCCAGCCTGGGCAACAAGAACAAAACTCCGTCTCAAACAAAAACAAAAAAACTAGCTCTTGGTTTGCCTGCTGTTCAGAAAATAGAAGAGTGGGCTTTCGCTTCCAGGTGGTCGTGGTTGCTGCTGATCTCTTCCTAGTCCAAGTTAGAAGTAGGCTCTCTGTCCTTGCATGACATTTAGAGAGACACAGAAACGGTTGCCAAGGTTAGGAAGGCTAATGCTTAGAGTCCTACTTCCCTAGAGGCACTTTGCAGCCACCTGCTATAATGTCTTGTCACCTGCTTGGGTACCATCACAGTACAGGTACAAGGCTCCCCACTGCTTTTGAGGCCCACAGACTTCTCTCCTTCTTAATCCAGAAAGCTCTCCATCCTTTCTCTTCTTGCTCTCAAAGCCTTCCTCCCTCTTTTCCCCACCCTCTGGAATACTTCCCAATATATTTTGAGCTTTTCAAAATGCAGGCAAAACCATTGACTTCAATCTGCTTCTGCTCTATGTGGGGCAAAAATTGTGGGTGAAGGAAGCCCAAAATGGTCTACTTGCTTTAGGGGAGTTACTCATTTTACATTATTATTCCACAAAGGAATGGATTCAAAACTTAATGTCTGCCATTTACTAGATCTGTGACTTTTTTTTTTTTTTTTTTTTTTCGAGGGAGAGAGAGTCTCTCTGTCACTCAGACTAGAGTGCAGTGGCATGACTCTGGCTCACTGCAACCTCTGTTTCCTGGGATCAAGCAATTTTCCTGCCACAGTCTCCCAAGTAGCTGGGACTACAAGCACTTGCCACCACACCCAGCTAATTTTTGCATATATCTTTTCAGTACAGATGATGGGGTTTCATCATGTTGAGCAGGCTGGTTTTGAACTCCTGACCTCAAGTGATCTGCCCACCTCAGCCCCCTAAAGTGCTGGAATTACAGGCATGAGCCACCTCACCCAGCCTAGTTCTGTGACTTTGGACAAGCACTCTAACCTCTTAAAGGCCCTGGTTCCTCACCTGTGAAATGAGGACAATAATACCTACCTTTCTAGATTGCTGGGAAGATTTAATTAAGGGGATGATATACGTAAAGTTCAAGGCACTATAGCTGGGACATAGTGGAAGTATATAAATGTTCATTCTTATTCCCTGTGTTTGTATTCCCAACAGATAAAACCATTCGTGTACCAGCAGAGCCCATTATTGCTGCATGTGTTGTGGTCTTTCTGACATTGTGCTTTGGACTGATTGCTAGAAGAAAGAAAATAATGAAGGTATCTAAGTATTCTGAGCTTTTTAGGTAAAAAGCCATCATCTGAATAAAGGCAGAAATCTAAAAATACAAGTGACTTCAGTTAGGAACCCTTCTTGGCAAAGTCGAATCTGGTCTTTCTACCACGTGTTCTAAAATACAGTTGTTCAAGGGAATAAAAATTATATGTATATTATGAGTACAGATTTACAAAGAAGAGAAGTGCACATGGGCAAAGCCTGAATTGAAAATAGCTGTGTTGTCAGGGTTAGGGAATTTGGGGCTGATTTTCCTTCCTATTAAATTTCCCTTTTTTGTTGCTATGGTATCTGTGGTATAATAAATAAATATAGGGAGGAACATCTGCTCTAGATTCAGAGAGCTGCATGAAAAAGACGGCATTGGCTGCTCACCTCTGGACGACGGCCACATGCCCTGGCTGCAGTGGGCTGGGGTTTGAATTATAAAGTGGTTATCCAAAGTGGAGATGTATACATTTGTTAATAATGCCATGAAAGCATTTTCTTTCTCCTGAGGAAAAGTGAATTTCTTATCAGAATATCTGGCTGGCCCTGTAATTTAAATTAAAATAAAACTTTGGAGAAACAGAAAAAATAAATAAATAAATAAATAAAGTGGTTATCCTCATTGGTTGGCATGATTCAGAATATATGCATGCATAGGTTAATGCCATGCATTTGACTCTGCCAGCTAATCCAGTGCCAAAGGAGAGAAAATATGGCAGAAAGCCCTAGGCTGAGTTCATCATTCAGCAAGGGGCATTATCCTTGGAACACATAGTAACTGGGCAGCCATGTCTCCCAAGAAGCAATTCAATCCACTCTCTATTCCAATCCAGAGCATTTTTTTTTTTTTTTTGGAGATAGAGTCTTACTCTGTTTCCCAGGCTGGAGTACTGTGCCATGATCACAGCTCACTGTAGCCTCAACTGCCTGGGTTCAAGTGATCCTCCCGCCTCAGCCTCCCAAGTAACTGGGACCACAAGCATACACCGCCACACCCAGCTAATTTTTGTATTTTTTGTAGAGACAGGGTTTTGCCATGTTGCCCAGGCTGGTCTTGAACTCCTGAGCTCAAGCCATCAGTCCACCTCAGCCTCCCAAAGTGCTAGGATTTGCAGTGATTGCATGCTCAGCCACAAAGCATTTTTTTCTTTTCTTTTTCTTTTTTTGAGACAGAGTCTCCCTCTGTCACCCGGGCTGGATTGCAATGGCACGCTCTCGGCTCACCACAACCTCCGCCTCTCGGGTTCAAGCAATTCTCCTGCCTCAGCCTCCCAAGTAGCTGAGATTACAGGTGTGCACCACCACACCCGGCTCATTTTTGTATTTTTACTAGAGACCGGGTTTCATCATGTTGGTCAGGCTGGTCTCGAACCCCTGACCTCGTGATCTGCCTGCCTCAGCCTCCCAAAGTGCTGGAATTGCAGGCGTGAACCACTGTGCCCGGTTTCTTTTTTCTTTTCCTTTTCTTTTCTTTTTTTTTTTTTTTTTGAGACAGTCTCACTCTTGTCACCAGGCTGGAGTGACAAGATTTCAGCTCACTGCAACCTCCACCTCCCGGGTTCAAGTGATTCTCCTGCCCCAGCCTCCCGAGTAGCTGGGACTGTAGGCATGAGCCACCATGCCCAGTTAATTTTTGTATTTTTAGTAGAGATGGGGTTTCATCACATTGGCCAGGATGGTCTCGATCTCTTGACCTCGTGATCTGCCCACTTCACCTTCCCAAAGTGCTGGGATTACAGGTGTGAGCCACTGTGCCCGGCCTAAGCATTTTTTTTTTCGGTAAAAAAATAAATACTCAGGTATCTAAGATCCTGGAAGCATCTTAACTAAGAGTTACATCTTCTCTGCATTTAATAAAAACTACTAGTATGGCCCCCAAAACGACACCAGAGCCATTGCAGAGGTGGCTATATTTCCATAGCACCTGTCCCTGAGCCGTCTTAATGCATTCAAAATATTTCTCCAGGGTCTTAAAAAGTAGGCTAATTTATTGCCATGTTTGCTTTTAGCTCTGCATGAAGGATAAAGACCCTCACAGGGAAACAGCTCTGTAAGTACTCTAGGCTAGGACCAATGCTTTTTTAATAAGCAGATGGATAGCAGTGATATGCATCACTCTAGACAAACTCCAGAGATGGGAGGTACTGGAGCGGAAGGGTTTCAGAGGAGAATAGAAGGTGAAGGAAAATCTACTCCACTTTAGAGGAAGACAGGTTGAAAAGTTCCCTAGAACAGAAAACACCTTCGGTTCTAAGCCTGGTCTCTCTTTAAGCAAGTTTGCCCAATGCTTGTGCAACTGCATTTTATTGCCACACAATGCAGATGCCGTGGCGGAAGCCACTGCTCCACACTCCTTTACAACAAGACCAGGAGCCACTTTCATCCTCATACTGCCTTCTCTTTGCAGCTTCATTTAGTGTTTCTAGCATACGTGGAGTGGGTAGTAGGTAACAAGAACAAAGGCATGTTTTCAGGGAGTATGGGTTTTGTTTTGAATTTTTGTTCTTATTGCTCTAAGCATCATTATAATTAATTTCTTCATTCATTTCAGATGAGAAAGATGAGATGCATTGACTGCAGAGAGAGAGTTTTGCATCAGGACCTCCACAATTTATGTAGTCCCATCTGTATTTATTGCTATTACTCAATTCACTCCTGTCACTTCTGTTTCATTAATCACTTAACAGTAGTTGTTATGAACAATTTGATATACTTGTGGAACACTTATATGGAGAAGAATGAAAGTATAAAACTTTAAGAATGAAAAGCAAGATTTTGTTAAGTCTTCTCCTTGAAGTATACATTAATTAACTGAGATTTGTTCTAAATAGGTTGTTAGTCATTTATAGTTTAGTGTGTTTTTTTCTAGGTGGGAGATACTTTGGTCTCACAAATCAGTGCAAAACCAAAAAAAAAAAAAAAAAGGGAGGCAACAAACAGGGTAATCAATGTTTAAATTTCTCAGGAAACACATTAAAAATATCAGTTATGCCAGATGCCAGGTGTGTTAGCTCCTACAATCCCAGCGCTTGGGGAGGCTGAGGCAGGCAGATCACTTGAGGCCATGAATTCAAGACCGACCCGGCCAATATGGTGAAAACCATCTCTGCTAAAAAGGCAAACAGCCAGGCGCAGTGGCGTGCACCTGTAATCCCAGCTTTAGGAGGCTGAGGTAGGAGAATCACTTGAACCTGAGAGGTGGAGGTTGCAGTGAGCTGCGATGGCACCACTGCACACCAGCCTGGGTGACAGAGTGAGACGCTGTCTCAAAAATAGACAAAGAAACAAAAAAAAAACAATTATAATCTACCTTCACTGTTGTTTCATACAAAATGTTTTAGGACTAAAGAGAGAAAGGAGTCTATAATCTTGAAATATAAGATGCTCCTTTAAATGGAATAAATTTAGTGTTATGAAGAACTCAGCATACATCCTTATTTTTCTCATCTCATTATATTGACACGGTCACAAATTTTGTGTGCTGGATGTGGCAGTGAATGTTCAAAGAGCAATGAACATGGTCATTTGTGTTGAGATACCTGTACTAATTCTGAGTCAGCCTGTACTGTTCTTATACATTCCCAGTTTAAACTGCAGCTGTCTTATAATTTATCATCGACTTTCCCCACCTCCATTCTTTCTTCTTTTTTCCCCCATAAGTTTATGCTTCTCCTTCCCACACAACTGGGGGAGCTTGTACGGAAAGGTAGCCTTGGCCAGAATCATCTTCGATGTCTCTTCTGTGCTCCTCCTCTCTTAGAAAAACAAAACAAAACTGTTTTCATCTAATTTTGAAGTAGCTAAATGTGCCACAGTGCAAGAGAAATCTGCTGTCAGACAGGTGGTAAAAAGCCTTCTTGACATAGAAGCAAAAAGAAGAAATTAGCAGAATGTATGAAATCTCAGCAGACTTGTTTCTAAAAGGAACAGACATAATCCTCCTGTTAGTCTCTCTTTGCTTCCTTGGAAACTTCAGTATGAAATCGATGAGAGAGAGACTGCTACAGACTGTGAATTACAGATTTCTCTGTCTTCTTGGAGGATCCACAGGGTTTTGTGCAGAAGCCTCCGGATCACATTCCTCACTCAAGATTTCTCAAAGTAGAATCTGGATACCCTGGGAGAGTGCTACAGGGATAAAATTAGATTATGAAAAAAATCTGAATGTTTAGATGATTAAATAGAAGCCATGAGACTGTAAAGAAAAAAACAAATGTGAGGCAATGGTGGCTGGGATAGTTTAAACATGGGAAAGGGAACAGAAAACTTACAAGTCAAATTGGAACTGGAATCAGGAGACCAGAGTTCTAGTGTTGGCTCTGTTAACTTGGGCAGGAAAAACTCCCTTGGACCTTTGGGAAATGAGGTTAGATTAGGAGATCCTTAAAGTACATGTTAGCTTAAAAAGTCTATAATTCTCAAAAGATCCTACATAATTTAGTTAAATGCTGGAAAGAGTTGGCAAGAAACACTGAAAATGTAATCCCTTTGCCCCACCTAGTAGAATTATGAATCAGCTTTGTTCTAGGGCATACAGCAATCCTTGAGAATTACGAGTCATAAGAAAAGAGTTTCCTCACCCTTATAAAATATAATGACCTTGTATATTAGCACAGGTAAGAAACATTAACTAGTTTTACCAGAGCACAGCAATACTGTAAATGGTCATTGCATTTCATTTTGCCTTGCAGTTTGGAAAAAACAGAACCTGTATTAAAAACTATGTATATTATTAACACTGAAATCATAGTGAGCCTGCTTGAGAAGGACATGAAATTCCAGGCCTCAAAAGAGGACCCCGCTGCCTTTCCCCATATGTCTTTTACACTTACTATGAGATACCTGAAATTCCAACATTCATTCTTCTGGTTTTGACCCATAGGACTAAAAGTAGCAGCAGAGAAGTGACAATCCCAGTGTCTCCCTTCTCAACCTTTCCACCAGTAAGGATACCTCTTGTTATTATCACATTCTCCTTCTTGGGCCCCATTTTCCCAAGAACTAATCTATGAAGCAACCTTTATTTATTAAATAATAATAATTATTTGGCTGGGCGTGGTGGCTCATGCCTGTAATCCTAGCAGTTTGGGAGGCTGAGGTGGGTAGATCACTTGAGGTCAGGAGTTCAAGACCAGCCTGGCCAACATAATGAAACCCCATCTCTACTAAAAATACAAAAAAATTAGCCAGGCGTGGTGGCGAGCACGTGTAATACCAGCTACTAGGGAGGCTGAGGCAGGAGAATCGTTTGAATCCGGCAGGCAGAGGTTGCAGTGAGCCTCGAGCATGTCATTGCACTCCAGCCTGGGCGACAAGAGTGAAACTACATCTCAAAAAAAAAAAAAATTGGAAAAACAGATAATAATTTTTTTTTAGATGGAATTTTGCTCTTGTCACCCAGGCTGGAGTGCAATGAGGCGATCTCAGCTCACTGCAACCTCCGTCTCCCGAGTTCAAGTAATTCTTATGCCTCAGCCTCCCAAGAAGCTGGGATTACATGTGTGTGCCACCAATGCCCGGCTAACATATATTTTTAGTAGAGACAGAGTTTCACCGTGTTGGCCAGGCTGGTCTCAAACTCCTGGCCTCAAGTGATCCACCTACCTCGGCCTCCCAAAGTGCTAGGATTACAAGTGTGAGCCACTGCACCAGGTCAGATCTTCTGATTCTTTAAGAGAAGTCAGAGATTTGAATTTTTATGTGTAATTCCCCTAATTTAAAAATGTTTTTGTTTGTTTGTTTTAATCCTAAATATCTAGGAGTAGAAGAATCCTCTTACCCCATTATATGCCATCCTCCAGAAGGTAGGTTCTAACAGTCTTGACTTAGGCTTTCATTGTCTCATGGAGATTTTTGTGAAACTGCTCTTGGAATTCTCACTCATTGCTTCCCCAGAGATCAGGCATGATCATGAGGAGCTAAGTCAGGAAACAGTTAGCTATGCTTTGCTGAGGATTTACGCACAAGATTTTACCCTATAAACAATCCTATAAAATGGTCATGATTGTCGCAACTTTGGAGATGAGGACACTTGGGTTCAGAACGCATAATTAATGTATAGAGAATGACTAAGCTGAGATTCATACCCGGGCTGATCCAAAGCCTGGGACCGGAGTAGGAAGGAGGATATCACAGAAGGGGTAAAGGTTGAATAATAAAAACTTCACCTCTCTCATAATATGCTGAGAGTGATATCTGTATTAATCCTACTTCTAATGACTTGTAGAGAATTTATTTCCAGAAATAAAGGAAATTTATAATAATCATAGTTGGAGAGCTTTTTGGAAATGTTACAACACTCCTTGAGATAATTTGCAATACCCTGCCGTGTTGCAGGACTGGAGCTGAGAATTGCTGCCCTAAATATTTGCTTGTCCTCCTGATGATAATAATCAGCAAGTATTACTCTTTATCAAGGGGTGGTTTGCATAGTTCATTTCTGATCTTTGTAACAACCCCTGAAAGGTAGGCGTTGGAGCCTCCATTTTATTGGTAGGGAAAGGGAAGAGCTGAGAAACTAAATAACTTTGGTTGAAGTTATAAAACTAGCATGAGATCCAGTTGAAATTCAAACTTAGGGCAGTCTGACCCCAGAGGCTATGCTCTTTTCCCTACACTACATGGTCCTAAGGCAAAGGTATGAGGATAAAGACGCTTGAATGTGATTGAGAGCATCTTGCTGTGTTAAGGTTCTGGGAATTGCAGCAGAGGTATTTATCATTCACCGAATATCCTTGAGCTCTTCACGTTCCCCTGCCCGCTTGCCATTAGGTAGTCCGAGTGACTAGTTCTGGCAGAGAGACTATGAACAGAGTTATGGTGCCACTTCTGGGCAAAGTAGGATGGGTGCATGTTCTTTAGGTTCTTTCTTTGCCTGACATGGCAGCTGGCAAGGTGGAGAGATGTTGGAGATGTCAGAGCGTCTGTCAGCCTGGGGTTCTGAGTAACTATGAGGAGCAGAGCTCCCTGCTCACATATAAGTAATGAACATGAATACAATACTTCCTGTATTCTTCCTATATTCTTGTTTAAGCCACTAGATTTTAGGCTTAATTTGCTACTGCAGCCTACCTTAGCAGGCTTATTCTGACTGATGCAAATATTTTCATTATAGTAAGAATGCAAGAGAAAGTTGCATTTAGTCCGGTACATACAACAATCCTTGAGAATTACGGGCCATAAGTAATGAGTTTCCTAACCCTTAATTTCAGGGGCAAACTCCTTAATAACCCCTATTCCTCCTACTGTGGACCGTGAATCATATATAATACTGAATAACTTGCAACAAAAACATGCTTTTCTCTTTGAATAGACTTAACGTTTTTTTTTTTAATTATTTTTTTCTAGAAAGACCCAGATCAGAGCTAGGCTTAACAACCCACTGATGACACATCTTTGAGGAGATAGGGCAACAGGAGTGTGAACCAGAATAAAATTTGTCTTTTTATTTAAAAAAATCTATTCATACTTAATCTCATACCAGAGACTATAGGAAATAAAATTGACCCATTAATCACAAATTTCCTAATACTCAGGTAGTCTTTTCCCAAGATCCTATCTCTGCAACTTCAAGGTTGCTATTTAGCAAACAACTTACATCATAGGTTGTTTACATACACGTGCTGGTGAAAACTATGGGAACACTGTTGTAAACACAAAAAAACTGAGTTCTCAGAAAATTGTATATATATATATAATATATATACACATATATATACACACACCCACATATATGTACATCTACAGATATATATAATGGAAGAATTTCAGATCTTCCATTTGTTCTTTGTGTGTATATACACACACACACATATATGCATATTTTTATATATACATATACATAAAAATGGAGATCTGGAGTTCCTGCCAACATATCCCTACAATAAAGTGTTGCTGTGGAAACTAATGAATTCATGAATTATTTGTCCTTATTTCTTCTGACACTCCTGATAGCAGCACTAGTGCTAGACTCTGCTTAAATTGTAGTTAGTAATAATCTCATATTTTCATACCTTATACATGAAATGCCTCATGTAAACATTACACGTTTACAAAACATTTTTTTTAAAAAAAGGCATTTATTCAGTGTCACGATCAGACTATTACATTTAGCAATCAACAGCATGGGTGCAAAAAAAAAAAAGAAAAAGAAAAAATCTACATTAAAACCCTTTGTTGGAATGCTTTACACTTTCCACAGAACAGAAACTAAAATAACCTGTTATACAATTAGTCACAAATACAGTCCTCGAGTTTTTTGCCCATACACATGAGTATTTGTCTAAATCATGTCTTCTTTGTAGCAGCTCGGCCCTGCCACCACTGTGCTTGGCTGAGTTCACAAATCTGTTGTAACCTGTAGCTTCCCTGTCACTTCTCTGGCTCTCCTCTCCTGCTAAGCTTTGTTTCCTAATTAAAATCTTCTGCCACTGCCATAGCTACTGCTGCTACTGGAACCGCCATAGCCACCTTGGTTTCGTGGTTTGGCAAAGTATTGGCTGCCACGACCATAGGGGCCAGAGCTTCTGCCTCCAAAGTTTCCTCCCTTCATGGGTCCAAAATTTGAAGACTGATTGTTGTAACTGCCAAAATCATTGTAGCTTCCACCACCTCCAAAATTGCCTCCATCATTACCAAATCCATTATAGCCATACCCACTGCCACCATATCCACCACCACCACGGCTGCCACCAAAGCCACCACGACCACTGAAATTTCCTCCACGACCAAAGTTGTCATTCCCACCGAAACCACCTCCACGACCACCACCAAAGTTTCCAGAACCACTTCGACCTCTTTGGCTGGATGAAGCACTAGCCATCTCTTGCTTTGACAGGGCTTTCCTAACTTCACAGTTGTGGCCATTCACAGTATGGTATTTCTGAATGACAGTCTTATTCACGGAGTCATGGTCGTCAAAGGTTACAAAGGCAAAGCCCCTTTTCTTGCCACTGCCTCTGTCCATCATGATTTCAATCACTTCAATTTTTCCATACTGTTCAAAATAATCTCTTAGGTGATGTTCTTCAGTGTCTTCTTTAATGCCACCAACGAATATTTTTTTCACAGTTAAGTGGGCACCTGGTCTTTGAGAATCTTCTCTTGAGACAGCTCTCTTTGGTTCCACAACTCTTCCATCCACTTTGTGTGGCCTTGCATTCATGGCTGCATCCACCTCCTCCACAGTTGCATACGTGACGAACCCAAAGCCCCTGGAGCGCTTGGTGTTTGGATCTCTCATGACCACACAGTCTGTGAGCATTCCCCATTGCTCAAAATGGCTCCTGAGGCTCTCATCGGTTGTTTCAAAGCTCAACCCTCCAATGAAGAGCTTCCTCAGCTGTTCCGGCTCTTTAGGAGACTCTGACTTAGACATGATCGCGGGGAGAAGAGAGACTTTAACGATGCTGCTTCGGCGGCGTCCACGGGCAGAAAAAGCTTACAAAACATTTTTCCAGATATTTTGTTTGATTCTCACAGCCACTCTGTGAGACAGGTAATGCTATCATTATTTATGATTTGCAACTATGTGATGTTAAAATTCAGAAAGTTTAAGTGATCTGTCCGAGGTCACAG